CTGGGAGCGCACCGTTTAAGTTTGAAAGTTGAAAAGTTTGTGTGTCTGAAACGCTATGTGATACAGTACAGTTTACACAGCACATGTTCTGTAGCTACTATTGCACTAAATGGTAACACTTGAATACGTTATGCAAATATGCAACTTGTTTGTTGAAATGTTAATAAATGGGAGCTTCCTCAAACAGCCATCTCTTTCCCGACAATCCCCTCTGTGCACGAACCCTTACATATGGTAATGAAACATTAAAACACCTGCGGCTTATAGTCCAGTGCGGCTTATATATGTACACATCATTCAATTTAGCTGCTGCGGCTTACATTCAGGTGCGCCTTATAGTCCGAACATTACGGTAAATGAAGTAAAGTAAAAATACCATGAAATATGACTCAGGAAGATGTTCTAGGCAAACCTGACCCCAGCCCTACTGAGAGGCTTTTTAAATACATTCTAGGATGTAACATTTAATGCTATTTAGATTTACGTGTTACATCCTTACAATTCTTTGATTTTTAATACTTATTTCAACGCAAGTCTTTCAAAGGCTTTTACTCATTATTCAATTCAAATGCCCCCCCCTCTTTTCTGTTTTGGTTTGTCTCTGTCAAAGCGTCTTTGAGTTTTTAGAAAAGCGCTATATAAGTGTCATGTTTTATTGTTATTATTAAAAAAGGCCGTTTCTCGTTACGCCTCCCACAGAGTTCAACCCGGTCCAGCAGCCGTTGCTGAATGAGAAAGTTCTGCGGGACAAGAGGAAGAAACTCCGCGAGACATTTGAACGCATCGTCCGTCTGTACGAGAGGGAAAACCCCGAAACGTACAAGGAGCTGCGGAAAGTGGAGCTGGACTACGAGACCAAACGAGGGCAGCTGGCGCTCTACTTCGACTCCGTCAAGGTTTCTGGATCGGTTTTCTGTTCGCCTCGTTTCAAGGGTTTGCAGTGAATGGTTGGACTGCGATCAGAAATACGACTGGAGACAGTTAATAAGTCAAATAAGCTGATATACGTTTTGATCAATGTTGAGCCATTGGATTTGATTGAAGGTATTTATAGGTTGGAAGGGTTATAGTGTGTTTGCAGCTTGAACCCAGACATGTTGAACACCCCAAAGCTCTATGATAGAAATGAATAGTACGGTCATAGCACATAGAAACTGGTGGGACATTTGTCAAGTCAACTTTAATGTCAGTCTTTCAGTTTGTGTGTACAGACGGAGAGAACGAAATGACGTTTCCAACAATCCCAAATACAATTATACAGATCTGTATAAAATCTGTATATCCTGTATACACAATCAACAGAACATTAGAATAAGTTAAGAAAGTAAAAATGTCACTTTTAACCAGAATGCACGAATGCTTTGTGGTGTTTCAGAATGCAGAGTCAGTGGAGGTGGACAGCATCCCTCTGCCAGACATGCCTCACGCTCCCTCCAACATCCACATCCAGGACATCCCTCTCCCCGGAGCCCAGCCGCCCTCCATCCTCAAGAAGAACGCCCCTTTCGGGTAGGCCTTCAACATTTAATACCTCATGATTCTGGGGGTGATTGAAGCAAAGAAATATGCAAATGAATCACTAAGGACTTCAACATTTAATATTACACGGCTTAGTTGAATACTCAATTCTGATTGGTCAATTCAGAACACGTGACACGTTGTTAATACGGTAGCACAGACGGCTGTCAAGGACTGTGATGACCGTTGCTAAGGAGCATCAAGAAAGAGAAAGTAAAAGGCGGAGCGCTGGACGTCAGATAAGTGAACAGAAGAAGGCAGAGAGGAAGTAAACACTAACAGGAACACGGTATGAGCTCTGTAGAGTTTAGGGACTTGTTAGTGGATCAGAAACTGTGAACAGAGTTGGACCGTGCTGCCGTAAAGTTGTTGTTGTTGCAGTTCCAGCCGTTGGTGCGCCGCGGAAGAAATACGATCATTTTGAAGTCAATAAAATCATTTCAATTCATATTGAACTCATGATTCTGGGGGTAATTAGATTTCAAGAGTCGTGCAGCACTACCACACTGAGTTCATCGTGGAGTACCACTCCAGGGCTAAAATGTTTTAATGTTTTTAATAAAGATGGCTTACCTTAGAAAAGAAAAGAACAAATGATAGTAAATAAACAAAAATAATAATGATGGAAAGAGAATACAAGTGACATACAAAGGTGTTAACAATTCTTACTGTATTAGTAGATGCATTACAGGGCCCATCGCTTGATACATGCATTTTTCTGTAGGCGTAATAAATATGTTATTTGCTCCATGTGGTGGATATCCCACTCTCTGAATCCAGCAGTTATGGGAGGGAGGTTCTGGTTTCAACCATTTAATGGTGATG